GCCTGTGACATAACTACAAAACCTGAACACTACCAAGACCCATTTTTCCTCCCCATGACTAAATAATTCAGTATTTTTATTCCCATCACGTACATGATTGGTACTAATCCAATTCCTCCACCATGCAGCTTTCATTTCATAACAACCATCACTTTCCTCATTCTGTCTAATTTGGAACAATATAAGCACAATTGTTACTTTTCTTGTGACAGATATTCCTCAAAACTATTCCAAAGCGGAAATGCGTGTCTACGAATAAAGGAATATCCTGCTCAGAATATCCTATATTAAGAGCACATCCTTTTAGAGCAAAAGATATTATGTGCAAAGTTTTCTACGTATGACTAGATAGCAATTTCATGTTCCCTGCTTGCTTGTTAAATTTTCAATTTACGTCACAACGTCAGCGGAAAAATTCTAGGATTCTGACCACTTGAAGCGAACTAGCAAACAGATAATTCAGCAATAGTGAGGCTCCTCGCGACAAACATTTAATTCTGAGGATGTTAGCTATCAAATAAATATAATGTCGCCATCTGGCTCGTTTTAAAACCTTGCCAACTAAAGCGAATAGCAATTGCGAGAAAGATTTCGTTCAGTTATTGATTGTTCCTGAAGGAGAAATTTAGGCCCTCAGCTCGGCGGGATCAAAATTAGCCACAATCCATCAAATCAGTCTGAAGTTACGAATACTGTCTTGTTTCAGTTTTTTTAGAGTCAAAATCAAGAAACGCTTCGGGTAACATTTCAATTAATCGAGGAACGGTCCGACAAGTCCAAACATCCAATGATCATTGAATGGCGAAACATGATGAAACATCAAATAAATATGTCGCCCGGCCACACGGTTCGTTTTCACTGCTCGCTAGGTAATCATGAGTAATATTTATATTTATTGACTTCTCCAGTTGGAAAAATTTAGGCCCATAAGCTCGGTGAATCAGAATTGGCCAAAGTCCAACAAATCTTCTAGTTTGCGGACTGTTGCTTCTGTTTTTCAAAAACTCGTTTCAGCGTAAACATTAAAAACCGCCTATGGTAATATTTTAATTTACCGCAAAAAGTCCTACATCAACCATTTAGAAACTGCTTATGGTAATATTTTAATTTACTACGAAAAGTCTTACATCATTTAAAAACATTTTACCACAACTGTTTGAACATACCTTTTTGTCGCCTGTTCAATGTTTCTTATTTGGGCTACAGCCTTCAAGATGGCGGCTTCGAAGACCAAAACAAGCAAGACTATTCGCCAGGTTCCTCTCTTTCTTGGGCCGGCTTCAATCTCATGCCCGGGGTCATTTTAGCTCTTTGACTGCGGTATGGTCGCTAAATAATGACCTCTTGAAGAAAAAATTAATTCAATTTTTTTGATTGATTGATTGATAGGAAAACAATAGACTCCAAACAGGAAGTGTGATTTACGGAAGGGATCGATGGGGCCGGAAATAGAGCATTAACAACGATAAACTGGAATTGATTTTACTGTTGTTTGTATTTTTTTTTTTTATTGCGTGAAAGTTTTAACATGTAAACTGCCTGTCAATTTGGGAGAAAACATTCAGACATGATCACAAAAAGTTTCCTTTCAAGTTTTCTAGAAAGAGTCAATTGACCCTATGCAGAACGAAAAGAGACTGGGAGCGATCAACTTGAAAACGAGGCTAGTTGAGTCTTGTTTACTCGTGTTAGAAATATGGCCGCTCATGGCTCTGTAAGTAGCCGTCTTTCTCAGAGTCTTACGGAGGAAGATATCCCCGGAGCATCGCTTCAGGGAAGAAATCCGACTGCTCTTAAAACAGATGAACTTCGCTTTTGGTTAAAATGTCGTGGCGATCCAGCAAAGGGGTTAAAAACAAAGGCACAATTGTCGAAAAGGTAAGTACAGTATTTGTCAGTCGTTCGTGATACTTTTTAGAATTAAAAGAGACTTTGATATTGTAAATGGAGATCAAAAGATTTAGGAGTTATTTTTCTCGATGAAATGTTTCAAAAATGCAATGATTAATAGTTTTTCTACTTTTCATTTTGAAGAGTTCTTGAATATGTTGTGTCTGGTCGTGATAAAGATGTTGTGGATCCCGATAAAAATCTGATATACACGCGTCGAAAGGCGAGACAAGAACAACTCGCTCAAAGTGATGCGATGCCTGAGGAAAGTACTGTTAAATTTCTATTGGTGGTACCAACTTACAGGAAACAAAATTTGGAAAATGTCCAAGTGGCTCATATGCAAGTTCGGCCAGTTACAGTTCACAGAGTCCAATTTTCAAGTTTTCTGTAATATTGACTCAGTGCCTAGAGTGGACTGTAATGATGAACAAAATGCTATTTCCGTATATCCTCCATTCCCTTTGCAACAATCTGAGCAGTATGAAAAGCCAGATGATTTAAGCAGCAACCAGGAAGCACTCCTGGATCATTTGATTGTTGATGAGGCAAAGCTTAATACCATAGAGAAGAAAACAAGTGAACAAGCAGCCTCACAGGAATGGCAGGCTGAAAGGAAATTTCGGTATACAGCATCTAATTTCCACACAATTGTAAAAAGGCAAAGGAATCATAACACTCTAGTAAATAATCTGCTTCATCCCAAACCATTCACTGCCAAACAAACTGCACATGGGAAAACCTATGAGCCTGTAGCCTTAAGAGAATATGAAAAATATATGTTTTCAACAAAAAACCCAGTTTCAGTGTTCAAATGTGAGTCCTTTAGAAGCATGTGCCAATGAAACTTTTTATGCAGAAAATGTAAATGAAAAGCCGAGGCTAAAAAGGGGGCACCAGTACTACTTTTAGATACAGGGTCAACTAGGTATTACAGGAGCAAGTTGGTGTGACTTTGTTATCTATACTAACAAAGGCATGAGTATAGAGAGGATCACATCTGATCCTCAATTCTGGGCCGTATACAATACAAGCTGAACTTACAGAGTTTCTTCATAAGAGCAAGCACATGATTGCAAAAACCAACAGATCCTGCTACACATGTACACGAAGCATATTTAACAACTCCACTCACTAAACAAAGTGCAACTTGTAATTTGTGGGGTGGCTCATTTTTTTTAAAGCTATGGTAACACAAGCATTTGAAATAGAAATATTGGTCATCACTTGCGCAAGTTAAGTCTTTCAGGTATTCATCATCAAGAAATGTTTTTGCCTTTTTCATGCTTGTTGGAACAGCATGGTTCTGTTTATTTCTGTCAAAGTTTTTTCCAGATTTAGAAATATGTAAATCCATCTCTGCCCTTGTGAATAATGGCATTCGTTGTAAACTTGTAGACCATCCGGCTGATGGAAATTTGACGGTACTTTCCTCAGGCATCGCATCACTTTAAGCGAGTTGTTCTTGTCTCGCCTTTCGACGCGTGTATATCAGATTTTTATCGGGATCCACAACATCTTTATCACGACCAGACACAACATATTCAAGAACTCTTCAAAATGAAAAGTAGAAAAACTATTAATCATTACATTTTTGAAACATTTCATCGAGAAAAATAACTCCTAAATCTTTTGATCTCCATTTACAATGTCAAAGTCTCTTTTAATTCTAAAAATTATCACGAACGACTGACAAATACTGTACTTACCTTTTCGACAATTGTGCCTTTGTTTTTAACCCCTTTGCTGGATCGCCACGACATTTTAACCAAAAGCGAAGTTCATCTGTTTTAAGAGCAGTCGGATTTCTTCCCTGAAGCGATGCTCCGGGGATATCTTCCTCCGTAAGACTCTGAGAAAGACGGCTACTTACAGAGCCATGAGCGGCCATATTTCTAACACGAGTAACCAAGGCCCAACTAGCCTCGTTTTCAAGTTGATCGCTCCCAGTCTCTTTTCGTTCTGCATAGGGTCAATTACGGTTAATGTTTTCAACAATGATGTTCCAAAGCGGAGCTAAAATGGCCCGTTCATGTACTTGAAGAAATTTCCTTTCTCAAAAGCGTTCTAAGTTATGCCACGATCCTTCTAGCATATCTTTCGACAGGCTATTCTATATTTGCATCTGGAAGATCACTAAGCTAAAGCTGACTACTTCATGGTCTCACTCTGGTTTCCAGAGATCAATCGGCACAATAATGTCGTTCTGTTGTAAATATTTAAAATCTGAAATGATAAGATGCGTTGGGTCATTTACATCATGCGATCTAGCTCGTTCAAAGCGGCTTAAGACCTCTAAAGATTCCCAAAGTATATTACTGATCTCTCCTGGGGCAAAATCGGCTATTTAATGGAAGTTACAGGATGAAAATATTTGACACATAACAAACATTTAATGTCACTTTATTTTCCTCGTGACCAAACTATACGAATTAAATTCAACAGTATACAAAGTTTACAATATTTACGCTTATTCAATTACACTTCTTAAGTCTGCTTTTTAGTGTTTTGAGGTTAACTATTGCTATTTTCTTTTTTCTTACAGGATTTGTTTTTCGCTTGCTATCAAACTAGAAAGAACTCTGTCACTGAGTAACAACTTTTTAAAAAGCAAATACTCCTGGACATACAGCAAAATACTAACAGACATGTTTCAAGTGTGTTAATCAACTTCTGTTCTTTTTTAGAGTGGAAGTAACTACTCTCTTACTTTTAACATATCATTTTCTACGTTCTGTCGCAGAATGAAATATTTCTTACAAATTTTTTTACAACTCTTTGAGATTATCCTAATCTCCCATCCAGAAGGTAACGTCAAGATGGATAATTAGGGGTGATAAATTAGAATTTCTAATTTTCAACGGTACCATGGTGCTTTACGTTGAAATACCTCAAAGATCATAGTTTAAGCAGTTAGGAAAAAAATGAAAACGTTTAGAGCAAACTCTCTACAATAATTCCTATACTTGAATAAGAAAATAAAATCGTAAACAGATGAAAAAGACGTCTAGCATTTTAAAATCATTTGATTTGTAATTCAAAAAGAAAAAAGCCGGCAGTCATCTCATTTTTTTTTATTTTTTGTTAACTTTTTTTTTGTTTGAACCGATTTGATTCAAGAAAGGATGAGGCATCTTCACTTATTGGGTAACAATCGTGTCCACAAGCATTGAACTATTCGATAATTTTCGTTCTAAATCTCTAACATAATAACAGTATAAACGACGCCATGGTTAAAAATAAATCGCTCGGCTCACTCCTCTCTCACAAGTACAGAAATTTAGTCAAGGTATCCGTAGGAGCAGTTAACAGTAAATTACTCGGCTCAGTCCCCTCTCACAAGTACAGAAATTTAGTTAAGGTATCCATAGGGGCGGGAACCTGGACAGAGTTACCACGCTTCACCACCAGTCTAGTGACTTCCGTTAAGATCTCAAGGAAGTGATGACGACGATGATATTTGTTGATCACTTCGACTAAATCCTATTGCAATAATTAAGGACAACAAAATGAGGAACATCGCCATTCTAGCAGAAGAAGTCGTTATCGGACGAAATGAGCCAAAGATCTTAGAAACTAGAGAGGAAAATTATAATGAAGGCCAAGCTAGGTTGACAAAAGGATATTTTGAGTGGAAAATGAAATGACCTTTAAAATGACCTTTGGTAGAGTCAGCCCACAGGCAGCCCAGGCTCCAACTGTGACATGATCATCTTGAATAATAAGCGTTATGGCGAAAATATAAGAGTTTGTACGGGAATATTTGCGACCGCTCTTATGAAGTAAAAATATAGTAAAATTCTCAAAAAGAAATACCTCGCCTTACATCCACAGAGCATCGCTTATTGTCTGACCGCTTAATTTATTGGAGCGAGTTACCCATTTCTAGGTCTCCTACTCCTCCTACTCCTTCTCTCTTAGGAGACTATGATTACCTCAAACACTCTTAGCTCAATGAACTAGCGCCAAATTCAAAGTGGAGCTGGTGCTCGACAGTGGTAGATCAGTGAATAAAGGAGGTAAGTTTCTTAAGGAACTGTGGTGTTGCTGCGGTTGGAGAGTATAACAGGGTAATCAAGTATTATCAACTGAGTTGATAACGTAAATTGGCCGCCTTAAAGAGTTTAAAGGCTGACATTTTGAGCGTTGGCCCTTCGTCAGAGCGATTGACTAAGGGCTATAGCTAACGTTCGAAACGTCAGCTTTGAAACTCTTTACAGTGGCTAATTTACGCTGTTCGCATTTGAATCGAAATAACACGTTGCTTTAGTTTTGGCAATTTCTTACCTGTATGAACCAGGCGCCATGATGCGGATCTCGATATGATACGTAACCGGGCGCGGTGGCGAAGGCCAAGACAAAGTCAGCTTCCGGTGGAAGCACGCTCCGTGGGAGGGTGGAGTCAGTACTGAATGCAGTACCACATGGCTGGGAGCTTTTCTGTTCCCGTGACGACGTTGTAACCACCTGTAAACTGATATCATTAGCAGATGAGGGCATTGAATTATCAGCGTCTTCTTGACATCCTCTGCAAGTTTGGATGATGAATACTTTGGGTTTATGCTTAAGTGACGGACACTTGTTCTCACGGAACTCGGACATCAAATTCTTCACGGTTGTCTCCCTCCCGTCGACTCCCAAGATGCAATCGCGATCTCCTCCATGCGACATGACGATGAATACAAACGCGTTATACGCTTCGTGATTTGCTTCTCCAAAATCCTGTGCCACTTTCTCCAACTCGTGTTTCGTCAAATCTCTCCGGATAATCACTTCAAAGAGAAGCGTCTTGAATAGAAGTTGGAGGCTACGTTCGTCTTTGTCGGCTCCTGGTCGATTCAGGTCCTTGTTCTGGAAGTCGACGTTATTCACGATGACGCACAATCCTCGAGGATTCTTGTTCATTTCATAGCTAGCCTGTTGGGGCACAGCTGAAAAAATCGAAGTTCCAGTTTAAAAGCCAGTAACAGAAATTTCATAAATCAATTGTGTAAATAACAAAATGCTCGTTATGAGTGTTTCTCATCCCTTTACACTCTCACATTGGTATTCATTTTCTCCACACTGTTCTCTTCTCATTTCCTCTGGTACTGACAAGAATAATCTGTTTGACAATCAGGAGCTTCCTAAATTGGTGATCATTTCCTTTTTCTCGTGATCTTAATTTTTGATTCAAGGATGATTGATATTCTGTTAGGACAAATTAGGAGCCAGTCACTATAAGGGGTCAAGGCCCCTTTTGTGGTTTAATCTTAATCATCAAATGTGATTGGTGCATTAACTGCTTTATTTTTCATTCATCATTCTATACAGTTGTAATCGGACAGTTGATTACAATCGGACACCTGTAATCGGACTCATAAAGCAGCCAATCATACTTAGTCCTTTCAGCCAAATCCACCAGTCGCAGAATTGATCACAATAACCATTGCGATAACCACTTATCCGAAAAAAAAAAAGCGAAACTTCAAAAACTGAGGAATTTTTTACTTAGACATTGCCTCTACTAGATATATTTGTCCTAAACGTATTTGATGTTTTCTGAAATTGTAACGGTTATGATTAATGGGTAACAGGACTTTGTGTCGTCCAATTCTGTCTTTAATCATACTTGTGATTAACAAATTGGACTCCCACTTCGCGGTTGTCCGATTTTGAAAATCACTTGTACGATTATAGACCGAATTGGACTCCACTCGGTCCTATTACCATTATTCAATGGATGTTTCGAGTCCAATTTAACCGATTTCAGTTGTCTGATTACAAACGCTTGTAATCAGACATCAAAAAGATAAGATCAAATGGTTAACTTCAAAATTTAAGCAGCCAATAACTATATTCAGCAGGAATAGTGTGCTAATCCAATAAACCTCAAACCAATCAAAAGGAAGAAAATTTTCAAGTGAGCAGGTTGAGAGTTCCACCTTGAAAACAAACATGATGGAAATGAACTAGTACAGTTAGCTCTTGCATTAAATCTTCATTCCCAAGTATCTTGCATTTTTTAATTGACACGATGAATTGGTAATCGCACTTCATGCCGTACCATTCAGGGGTAATTGTACTCGTAATTTTAAATCAGCTTAGCGCTACCAGTTCAGCTACTGCGAAACAACTCACCCGATTAGGACTCCTTAAATTGAACCCCACTCAGTTCTATTACCATCACTACTTTATTTGCAATGAAAATTTTCCCACTACATTTAACATGATCTTCGCATCGGTTACGTGTATTGCCCATCACATGTATATCTGTGATTCAGTACACAGTTACATAATGACATATACACCATTCACACCAAAGCTTAAACATGTTTTAAGGCTGTTTTGTCAAACACGATTTAAATTGTTTTTCCTCATAGAGGCTGTCGACTTCAAATGTAGCACATTGAAAATACAAGTTAGCGATTACTTGAATCTCAAGGAAAATTTAGTTTTTCAGTTCCCTTTTCTGATTTTCCTTCAGTTAAACCCGCACTAATTATACAAGCTTTGGTGGTGTGAATGGAGTAAGAGACGGAGTCCAGACAGTCTTACCGGAAGTGATGAGGGCTGACGGCAGTGTTGAACCTAATGACAAAGAAAGGCATTGATTTTTAGGCAGATTTGGACATCCACTTAAATAATTTGAGTATCCCAATCAATTTTAAAAGGAAGGTGTTTGATGCATGACAAAAACTGCAAAACACAGACTAGTTACTAAGTGTTTCCTGTTCCCACTAGCGACCACTCGTTCCAATTATCCACGACGAAAAGTGACATTACGCGGTCATTGTTTGTTGCCTCAGCTGCTTCGTTTATTTCCCTTTATAATAAAGTTCGGATATAACGCGCGCTGTCATTGGTTGAAAGAGCGTGCTCTATGAGAGTATAGAGCATAGAGCTGAGCTAAAGCTGTCACGCCATCTGTCAAATTATACTATGTTCGACCTTTTCCAGGACTTCTTTTTAGCTTTTTTTCCGATAATTGAAAGTGAAATTTCGGAACAAGCGAGCCGGCAAGTAGCAACAGAAGAACCAAATAAAGGTTTGTAAACATACCAGGCGCCGTAATTTACGTTATTAAAACGTGAGCAGACACGAAAATCCTCACAGGAAAAACAAAATAGACATTCCGAGTTTTAAAGATTAATTCACGTTCAGTTAGATTGCAAGCTTACGTACGGAAATAAAAATCAAACACAGCTAACACTCATATAGTATATAAAGTTCAGTGGGTTAGGGTTAGACTACGTCTCGTGTTTCTCCCTACACTTCTTTCGTGCTCTAGCCGCTTCCTGCGTGCTATATAACAGAACAGAGCACAGTCAAGGCTTCTCTATTTGTTAATTAGAAAGGAAAAGAACGCCCCCTTATAGATTTATCAATATCCAAGGCATATTAGTTGAGGGGAAGGGTGGGGGTTAAGTTGGGATGAAAGTTTTACAGCTTTCAACATGACGATAAAACTGACCAGCAGTCTCCAGGATCGAGACCTATGAAACTCCATTGACAGACTCCAATGATGACATCAGTCCCTTAAGGTCTTCAAAACTTCAGTCACTGTCACCAAGATCCGCCCTTTTCAGGACTGCTCACACCAAGAAAAGCTGACTACATTATCTACTGATTCATAGAGATCGGTTTGTTCAAATTCCCGCCTCCCCAGGAAAAAATTGTGTCCAAATACCCCACTAAATTTTTTCGTAAAAGGCAAACTCAGTGACTTTAACTCGCTACACATTGACCAAGATTAAAAACCTAGACCTTATGGAAATCGCTTGTAAAGTTAACTATTTGCCTTTAAACCCTTCCAAATTAAAACAACACATGTATTCCGCTGGAAAGAACTGATACTTCCAGATCAAAATTTCCCACCCGAGCCAGGAAAGGTTCAAATTTCCCATTCCTTCCCCCCGGGCACGGACGATGGTTAAATATCCGTTGGTTGCCCAGAGGGGGAGGGGGGGGGGGTTTGAAACATTAAATTAATCGGCGCATTACTTTCCTTACCTAAACACACTCTTGCTCTCAGTGTGTGGTTCCGATATGGCATTCCAATGTTTGGTAGGTCATTCTGTTTATCCATCATCTGTTTGTTTGCCATCGTCAACATATCAAGCAGATGGTACATTTGATAGGAACTTCTTATGACCTGGTCCAAGATCTGTTGAATGAGCAAAGCAAGAAAATTAACCCTCATTTTAATATTAAATTTTCATCGATATTAATGAGCAACAATGCCTGAAGTTTTCGTTGATCTTAAATTGCAAGAGAATTCGATTTTTCTCCACTGGGTGTGGTGAATATCAATGCAGGCCTCATTTCCTTCCTTGCTTCGTATACTTTGGAATCCGTCATTATTTATCTCCCGCGTGGAAGGGGAAGGAGGATTTTGGTTGTGTCATAATAAAACTAATCTGATCCCCCTATGGCCCTGTAGCATTCTAGTGATCCTCCCCCCCCCCCTCATTGGCAGTTAATTTTCAATAATCCCTCATTTTGTCCTGTTAGCGACGACTGACCCCCATCTTTTCCTCCTAAAAAATATGTGATTCCCCTCAAAATCCTCAGGCGCCCCTCCCCTCCCCCCTGGGTGACGAATGATGACTGATCCTTCACCTGAATAAACAAAGACTCTGGTTCTCTGATGGGTTGATCAACTGGATATGTAGAAGTCACACCCACTAGCAGAAAGTCGGCTTCTTCGGGGCAGCTGTCTCTCTCGCTGGCGGGGATGCAAGGCATCCTCATGGCATCCTTTTCTGCAAAGCTCCCGGACTCGAAGAATAAGCACTCGTTGTTGACCCTTGAAGATGTCCCTCTAAAACGCTGAACAAAAAATAACTTGGGTTTACCCCGGAGGGAGGGACACCTTGATGCTCTGAACTCCTCCATAATATGCTCAAGGCTCGCGTTTCTACCATCAGCACAAGATATTTCACTGCATCGTCCACAAACAGACATGAAAATAACAACAAATGTGTCAAAGTGAGTATGATCTCTCTTTGCAAATTCCTCAGCTAAACTATAGATCTCGTCTCTTTGAAGACCTCTTTTGATCAGTACGTCAAAGGAAAGGAACTCGAACAGGTCCTTGAGCTTCTCTTCTCCCACCACTAAGGTTGGAACGTTGTTTATCAGAAGGCAAATTCCACGCGGACGAGAGGTGTGCATCACGTAGTGATGGCTCAGCCAAGATATTTTCGCTAAAAAATATGAATAAGCCAAATCAAACAAATTTGTAAATTTACCACCACAAATGACCTTAATTCCTCCTTGTCCGGCCACAGTAAGTCATTGCACTGAAAAACGGGGCTTTACATGCTGACAATCAACAAGTATGAAAACCATAGGACTGAACCGAGATATGGGGTCCTAGAAAGTTGTAGGTTTGAAAACTGCATCGATACATTTAATGTAATATTTCTTTTGATAGAACTACATTCGCCTCGTGTTCTCTGCGGGCATGCGCAAAATATCTAAATGGCAATGCTTGCCATAACAATAGTTTGATGGAGACAGGAATATTAGCCAGTGGGCTGGGGATCAACATTCCATTTACATTTAAACTGAAAACTGTAGTGTAAGGGCACGCTGCGGTTTTTTTCAGGCAGTACGAGGCAGAAACAACGCTGAGTCATCTCTTTAACTTTGCTAAGGTTCTCCCTTGAATTCACTGAGAGAAAGAAAGGCACATTGGAGGAATAGGTTGCTTAGAGGGGTTAGTGTTTTAGAAAGTAACTCTAAGGGCCGATTATTTGAACAAAGTTTAGCCGTTGTTGAACAATACCGCGTTCTGAGCCATCTTCAGTTTGGCCGAATTTTTTATCTGAACATTTATTTTTGTAAACAGAGTCAAGAGGGCTGAAAGCTTAAAGTGGAAGGATATTTATCCAATTAAATAACCCTTTTCTAGGGAATCCCTGAGGCCCACTGCTTGCGTGAAACCGTACTTGGGGTTAGACCCCGTGTAAATAACCGGCTCTAAAGATCCTTATGTATGGTTTTTTGTTTTTGTTTTGTTTTGTTTCACTTCAAGATGACCGCCGTTACCAAAAAGGCTGATGCATACAAAAATTGGAGAGTACTGCAAGATTTTTTTTTTGTGACCATTGTCGTCAGCCTGGTTCTCAAAAATCCTGCTGAAATATACATATACACATGTAAATGCCGATGCGTTCCAGTGCGTATGCGTATGCATATACGCATACACATTGTTCTTATCGACATACCTGGTCCCTGGTAAGGTAGCATTGGTTTGGAGTCAGGGACAACCCTAGAAAGCGCTGATAAAAAAAAAAAACACTTAAATAATTTGAGTATCCCAATCAATTTTAAAAGGAAGGTGTTTGATGCATGACAAAAACTGCAAAACACAGACAAGTTACTAAGTGTTTCCTGTTCCCAATAGCGACCACTCGTTCCAATTATCCACGACGAAAAGTGACATTACGCGGTCATTGTTTGTTGCCTCAGCTGCTTCGTTTATTTCACTTTATAATAAAGTTCGGATATAACGCGCGCTGTCATTGGTTGAAAGAGCGTGCTCTATGAGAGTATAGAGCATAGAGCTGAGCTAAAGCTGTCACGCCATCTGCCAAATTGTACTATGTTCGACCTTTTCCAGGACTTCTTTTTAGCTTTTTTCCGATAATTAAAAGTGAAATTTCGGAACAAGCGAGCCGGCAAGTAGCAACAGAAGAACCAAATAAAGGTTTGTAAACATACCAGGCGCCGTAATTCACGAAATATACATATACACATGTAAATGCCGATGCGTTCCAGTGCGTACGCGTATGCATATACGCATACACATTGTTCTTATCGACATACCTGGTCCCTGGTAAGGTAGCATTGGTTTGGAGTCAGGGACAACCCTAGAAAGCGCTGATAAAAAAAACAACAATAACAACAACAAACATGTGAAGAGACATTCTTTTTCTAACACAGATCTTATATTAGTTGCCAGCATATAATTATTGTGCGCATGTTGCGAATTTAATAGGTTGAAATAGACAACTTTTTTTGACAAGCCCTTTAACTCCCATGAGTGATCAAGACAGACTAATTCCTTACAATAGCAATACAAAATCAAGGGGACAAGTAATGGAGGAAAACTTCAAGTAAGGAATTACTAGTTGATCCAATACCAAATTCTTCGAACTAAAATCATAAGAACTGTATAGCAGACAGTAAGGGGACTTACTAATGAGATCTTGGGAGTGAAAGGGTCGACTACTCAAACACTGATATTGAAACCAATACACCATTTCAGCCATGAGCATGCGCAAAGAAACTCTACGATCGAAGCTAGTTCTTGTCAGCATTTTTGCAATGTTTAGCCATTTTCTGAGTAACTTTTAAGGTTTCATAGGTTTTATTTATCAATTTAAAGTGAGCTCCACCTTGGAAGATAAAGGTGATCCGGCAGTCTAATGCCTACCTCTCCCCCTCCAAAAAAGCAAGCATCCAGACGACGCATAAATTTTACACAGTACGAATAATTGTCGTTTTTACTAAAACCCACTCAGGATGCATTCTTTATAAGGACGGCCCTCTGATGGAATGGGGTTCATAACTGAACAAACTTGTGGTTGTTTCTTGATGCACTACAAGCTATGTATTCATTTATTTATTTATTTATTTATTTTTAAACGTACTTTTTAAAGCCAAACGCACTTCATGGGGTGGGCGACTTCCATGTTTAACTGTGTCAAAATGAAAACAAATGTGGGGGACAACTGCACAAAGCAGAGCTGAGTAAATGGCAACCGACCAAAAAGTACTCTTGTTTACCTGGATGCACTGCTTGCGCTATTCTTTCCAGGAGACGGCAAATTGGAGCTACAATTCCAGTGTCTTCCACACCTGCTGGCTCTTGCTGTACTGGTGTTATAGGGACTGGAAGTCTTGGATCAAAGTAAGCTAGAAAACACCAGAGGAACATGATCCTAAGCAACGAGGTTATCAGTATTGTTTTTGGACAGAGGTTTGTATCGTTGTTGGATTTGTGGTTGTTGTTCATTTTCTTGGTTATAATCCTAGTTTAGAATGCTTTGCCTCAAACTATTATCAGGGGGAGGGAGGGTTGAGGGTTTTGCTTAAAATACAGTGTAACACTGGTAGCTATTCAGGTTTCTGTTTCTTCAAGTTTCCTACTTTTTTACAATGAAAATAAAGAAATAATCCTACTCCACAACTCTATTAATGTGGTATTATGCCTTCGTCTTTGAAAGTAATGGAGATCAATTCATAAAAAAGGGTCAATTTTCCATACCCTTTCAACCCCTAAATAATTTTTAACGACGTTGAAAGTTATTATTCGTGGATAAAAATATTTTCTTCTGAAATCTGCTGACAAGGAGATAGAGGAAGTCTGAGATGTTTTATAACAGCATGATCCCGTGGCCTTTACCTAGATCTTCTCCCGGACCCAGTGTAACTTGAATTTTACTTTTTCAATTTTTTGGCCCCCTCTACATGCCAATCCGACAGTTGTTCAACACAATAATATACAAAATGCTAATTTGATTCAGGCGACGAAGGGGAAAAACCCCTACTTAAAGATTAGCACGGGTTATCAAATGTCTGTGAAACTGAGATACTCAATGTTTGACAACAAAGCTTAACTTGTGTTTTGCAGTTTCGCGAGTTCTCTGAGCAGAATCCATCAATAATAAAAATTTCCTTCAAATCATATATCTTTACGCCCTAATTTGACAGAACTGATAAGGAGTGCATCGAATTCTCCAATATGAAACGTAAGCATCGGCGAGATGAGTTGAGATAAGTGAAAGATCGTAATTTCGCTTGGCGTAACACAAAAGAGGAACACATAAGAGGAACAAATTGAAATAAAAATGTGTGTTTGCTCTCGGAAAATACCCTTTCTAGCGCATACTGTCCATGTACATGCCAGAATTTCGATGCAAAATATTTTCATGCGGAAATTCTTGCTCTTACGTATAAATAAACAATGGAAAGTGAAAGTCGATTCAAGTTACGCGTCAATTCTTAACCGGGCAACGTTATCGTCCCTTTCTGTACCAGATACAACAGAACTAACACTGTCTCAACGATAAAAAGCTCACCTTGCTCCATTGTTTTGTGTCCGTGGACAAATCAATTTGTTTCTGCTAAGGGCATGATTTAACATGTTTGTCTTCGTAAAACAATATGATCACGTGCAATAGAAAGACTGTGTAACCGAAGAAGATTGGCGTACGCGCGAGACATCACGCGTGTTACGTGCTTTCACGCTAGCAGCGTGGATGGAGATCTCTAACCTTTCATTTGTTAGCGGAACGTGTATAAAACACAATTATCTAGTTACGATCTAAATCACGCAATACTTAAGCGCGTTTGGTATCTCACAGGTTAAGGACTCAAACAAAGTCGGTTTACGACACTTTTATTACAAAATGTTCTGTTTACGTTTGGGAATGAACCACCATTCGTATCAACAAATTTATAACATTCACACTTGATGTATATACAACTCAAATCAAAGAGACAAATTTTTACACGGAGAAGACGCGACTCACTGAAATGGGCAAAGACGGTCAAATATCGGAAAAAGACAAGTGAAATCTTTCGCACTTTAACTAAAACAAGTAATCAGCCACATCTGTTTCCTAATTTCAAATTTATCAAATTCTATTTTAGTTCCAGATTGGACGAAGACATGGCATCATTTATGGACTGTATCCTTTGTTTTATTCTAAATCCCACTCTGTTCTGCCGCTGTCTCAAAAATTCGTTTAATTCTTTTTCACGTTTCTCCCTGTAAAAGAACGCAAAACAAACAGAGGCAGTCAATAATTTTTCCAGCATTCTCTTTGTGAATGGACCAGCCGAACCGGCTATTTTCTATGAATCGTAAGCTCCCCTAAAACAAAATGTAATACACTAGGGAGGTCATCAGTACCTTGGAACGAAGGATGTGGTGGCTGCTGTTGGAGCAGCCACTAAGGTTCTCGTGTTTCCGCCTGGGTGAAGCACCATCTCACTATAAAGATACAGACACATACCATCAACTCAGACTAAGTATAACCCCCCCTTTACTGTAGATAACAAAGCTGAAAAACTAAAGTACACGTAACATTATTATAAATCACGAAAGACGTCGAGAGCTACCTTAATTGCGACGACCCCTGTTGATCTTGGTCTCCAAG